ATTGAGAGAGAGAGAGACAAACACACACACACACACAAAGAGGAGAGGGGAACTGCTGGGGCCGGCCCGTATTGAAGAATATGGCCGAATTTACCCGGGCTGGCCGTATATCGGCGTATAACACGCACACATCATTTGCCCCCTATTTTCAGGGGGAAAAAGTGCGTGTTATACGCCGATAAATACGGTAATAAAAATAAGGCTAAGAAAATAAACAATAAAAATTAAAGGTTGAGCTCCCAACCATTTTCAACACACACATTCAGGCCAACAACTCATGGTTGGTTTTCTCTTTGGGACATGATAGTGGAGATGGGAGGAAAGATGCTAAGGAATCCAGCAGTTGCTGCCTTGAAATTATCCCCCATTAAATTGTATAAGAAAAGTAATCTGGTTGCTGCAGTACAGTAAAGACAGTGTACCTTATACCTATATACATTTCTCCTGTCTGAAGAGTGGGAAAAGCACAGTAACATGGCCATAAGAAAGAGCTCTTAGACAATTACTCTCTTATTACACAGAGATTTTCCCAGTTCTTGCATAATGAAAATACAGTCACCTATGTTGCCCTAAAATGTGTGAATGTAATTATGCAGTTTAAGCTGACAGATCCTTCCAATAATATTGCATGCTGTTCTGCTGACCTAGAAGCATGCTGTTAAACTCACTGATGGGGAATGTTTGACTCAATCTGACCGCATTAGAAGAGGGCAGTAGGCACATGATCCAAGCTGGCGCAGTGCAAATTTGCTACAAGAAGTAATATATTTCTCATTTTATGAAAAGACATAAATTAAAACCACTACTTGATGTGTGAAATAATTATCCCAGGGAGTGTGATTTAAAGAGCAAAGAGGCTGTCAGCTGCCTGGGAAGTGTTGCATCATCACAGAATTGCCATTGTTTTCTGACAACACTCCTGCAACACTGATAGCTGTCTGAAGACCAGAAAGACAATGGATGAATGTTCCCTATTACCATTTTCCCTGGGATCCCCCTATTGCCTTTTACATCCTCTGCTGTCAAAGAGAGAGGAGGACTTCTTGCTTAAAAATAATTATGCAGGAACCTTACCATGGAAATTATATATGTGAACTGAAGACAAACAAACCTAACCAAATTAGCATTTTGGGGTGCTAGAAGTGACTTACAAGGCTGATAGATTTTCATGTCCTCCTCACAGAATGCCATGGATCTGAAGGTATTTTGTATAATTTTATGCAGAACTACTCATAATTATATTATGATAATAATATGGAAAAGAACATCTAAGTCATCAAATCCAACAACTTACTCATGAAGAAATGCAGACTAAAACATCCCTAAGAAATGACTGTCTCCTCCTCGGAGAAAATCACTAGGTAATTGTTTCACTTAACGTTAGTCAGCCCCATTGATTTAAGAGGATTTCGTCTCTAATGAATGATGCAGTATTGCACTCAACTTCTACCCAGGCCTTTCTGCACCAAGAAATGGAGTTATGGGGGGGGGGAGAGGAATAGAGATAATTTTTGCATTTCAAACAGCTGTAAGTTATTTCAATCGCTTCTGTGAGATGGGCGGCCATGTAGATGTGATTAATATGTAAATAAGTTGAGATCAAAGTGAATAAAACCTAGATATATGTAAATTTGAAACAGCCATCTGCTGTTATCTATGATAAACAATATTTCACAGTATTCATGATACATTTCAAAATATGGATGTGATTGAGAACAAAAAAACTTTATTCCACGCATTTTATTGCAGTTGGAATCCTCATCCTGTTGATACCAATTGGACCACACATATCCTTCATAGCCCCTGCATGATTCTAATTTTTAAAACATTTGTTTTCAATTCTAAAATGGGAAAGTGGTAAACTCCAATCTCTAGTATTATCTTTATTTCCAGAAATGCTTTGGATTCCACATGGTACCATCAGTGTTCTCCATAAGTGAGAATGGCCAGTGGCTTTTTTTTTGCAAAGAAAAATGGCAAATATAGGGAGTCCTTGACTTAAGACCACAATTGAGCCCAAAATTTATGTTGCTAAGCGAGACATTTGTTAAGTGAGTTTTGCCCTTTTTTATGACTTTTCTTGCCACAGTTGTTAAGTGAATCTGGCTTCCCCATTGACTTTGCTTGTCAAAAGGGGATCATATGACCCCGGGACACTGCAACCATCATAAATGCGAGTCAGTTGCCACGTATCTGAATTTTGATCACGTGACCACGGGGATGCTGCAATAGTTGTAAGTGTAAAAAATGATCATAAGTCACAATTTTCAGTGTCATTGTAACTATGAACGGTCACAAAATGAACTGTGGTAAGTCGAGGACTACCTATATAAGCTTGGAATTACCAGAATCACCCTGAGGAAACAAGCTAGAGGGGAAGGATCACTTCTTGGAAGTGGATATTTTGAAGCTATCCGTGTCTATTCTGACAACCATTTAATTAAGATCAATCTGTGCAGAGTAACTGCCTGCTTGGATCTGAGTGCTTATTTTACTTATTTAGAGACTTTAAGGTTATCCTACTTGGTAGCTGAGTCTAGACTGAAAAGCATGCTTTGTCACCAAGTCTAGACATGTGGATACCTCTTAGAGGTTCTGAAATTTGGGGTTCATTTGCTCCATCTAAATCGAAAATGTATTCAAGTATATTGGACCACCGCCAAATGTTTTGAATCAGAATTATATTGATAGAAACGTTGTGGCAGTGTTTGAAGGCTGGACAACATACTGTCACACAGATGGTAAAATGATGTATAGCTTCTGGTAATGCAGACGCTCTCTGTATAATTAGAGTAGCTCTGAAATCTCATAAATAAACATTAGGCAGGACTGATTTTATTCATTGACATTGTGAAATGAACTTGAGTTGACAGTGAATGCCATTAGTAGAATATTTGGACTGCAAAATAGTTACAGGGGGAAAAAACCCCCCCGATGTGCATTAATGGAGCATCTTTGAGGACATTCAACCGTTCTACGCATATTTATCTGTTGCAATCAAGTTCCATTGTATTCTGTGGCAGTTCTTTCTGAGGACAGAATTGGACTGGAAATCTGAAATTATTAATGTACTCAATTGACAGCATCCAAGAAAATAATTAAATAAAGGGCATAAAATTAGATTAAAACGTTTGTTAAACAGCTGGATTTCATTTTCCTGTCTTACAGAATTTGGTGTGAGCTGATCTCAGACATGATTACCTTTACTAAAACTGGTTTTCGTTTTTTTTAAAAAAAGACATATTGTTGAACTGTTCCTACCAGTCTTGTATAGCATTGAAGGATTCTTCACAAGTAACATCATACATCAGGATGAATCCCATTGCTCCTCTGTAATAAGCGGTTGTGATGGTCCTGTACCTTTCTTGTCCAGCTGTATCCTAAGTAAAATAATATGTAAAAATAGTATGAGCTTTATGAGTTTTCCCTGGGCCTAATCCTATTGATAATATAGTAACCATTTCATGAGTTTGGTTTTTCTTCTACCAGAACATAGAGTTATCCAGTAAGGGGACTATTTTTCCTGAAATATGAAGTAAAATGTTATTCCTACTGGGAATTTATGAATTAGCCAAATAATAAAGATTGCATTGCATATTACCTTTATAACATCCCATTAATTTCTATTTAGAAAAATACAATTTTGGTCTGACTTGACGTATAGTCATCTTTATCATACTACGTTGTCTAATGTGCAAGTATCATAACCATACAATACAATAAAAAGCAACTTGTAAGTAAATCCAGCCATTAAATGGGCCTTCTGTGGATACCTTCCTATGATATATAGCCTATGGAAGGTACCAGTTTTCCCCAGTTTATTGCTCTTGCATAATGTAGGACCATAATTCCCATTAATTCCCAAACTGTGCTTTCATGGAATTGTAGTCCAGCACAACTGGTGCCCTCCAGGTGTTTAGGACTATAATTCTCATGAACCCATGATCTCTGACTATAAGGTATTATAAAGGGGGATTATTAGAAAATTGTAGTCTAGGTTGCTTCGCTATCTAGCCCACTACTCTCTGTTCTCAGGCTTTCCTTACAAACAGAAGGAGTCTAGTCACACTTTTCCCTCTGACAAATGTTATTAGCAAGCAAAACGTTTGCCAGATGCAGCTTATTTCATCAGATGCACAGAGTGACTTGTCTGAAAGAAATTATAACAAGTTAAAACCCCATTGTATTTGCTAAAATGTTTTGAAATAGTCTGAAATCTTTTGATATACAGGTACTCCTTGACTTTCGACCACAATGAGCCCAAAATTTATGTTGCTAAGTGAGACATTTAAGTGAGTTTGCCCCATTTTATGACATTTCTTGCCACAGTTGTTAAGTGAATTACTGTAGTTGTTAAGTTAGCAACTTGGTTGTTAAGTGAATCTGGCTTTCCCATTGACTTTACTTGTCAGAAGTTCGCAAAAGGTGATCACATGACTCTGGGACACTGCAACCATCATAAATATAAGTCAGTTGACAAGCGCCTGAATTTTTACCATGTGACCATGGGGCTACAGTAATGGTTGTAAGTGTGAGAAACAGTCATAAGTCCCTTTTTTCAGTGCTGCTGTAACTTCTAATAGTCATTAAACAAACTGTGGTAAACTGAGGATTACCTGGATTTCAGTTCATCAATCTCTTGCTCATTGGTGCCGTTAACGTTTTCATTTTTTCCCCAAAATGACCACTTTGAGATTTGCAACAGGGCGTCCTGGGTTTTGAAATGGTCCAATAGTACTTTGTCCTTGTTTTAAATCCTGTTATCAAGCTTGTGTCCATTAAGTCTTATGGGCAAAGTTTGTTCCATTTGTCCACTGTGCCTTGCTGTGCATCTGATGAAATGAACTGTAGCTCATGAAGCAGATTCCTTTCAATAAAATGTGTTAGGCAGAAAAGGTGCTTCCACACTAACATTTTATGTTACCATAGGCCAGTGATGGCGAACCTTTTAGAGACCGAGTGCCCAAACTGCAACCCAAAACCCACTTATGTATCGTTGGGTGCCGGTGGGTGTGGCCCACTGGGTGGGCGTGGCTGCGATGGTAACAGCAGACTGGGTGGGACTAAAAAGTTCAATCAATCAATTCCAACTTTTTTTTCCCGCGAGAAGTTGAAATTGATTGAACCTTTTTTTTTTTTTTGCACACGGTGGCGGAGGCCTAAAACGAAAAGGTTTTATAAAATCCAGCTAAAGGCCTAGGACTGGGGCGACGGTGCACGTGCCCACAAAGAGGGCTCTGCATGCCACCTCTGGCACCCGTGCCATAGGTTCACCACCACGGCCATAGGCTAACGTGGGTCTCTACCTACAGCAGCCTACGGCTACTCTGACTTGTTCCCACTACAGACATTTCAAAGTGTTTACAGTATAAAAACACATTCGCCTTTTAAAACGTTCTATTCGCAAAGCTTTCAGCAGCCGGTGAAAATATTAAACAGCAGCAGGGAAAGCAACAGTCTTATCTTTGAGGCACACACTTGGTATTACAGCAGCTTTTTTCCCTTGATGTGACCAATCTTCAGTCATATGGCAGTGTGCTGCTTCTCAATCTCAAATGTTTAAAAACGTCTCTGCATCAGACATGATTAATGGGAAAGTCTCCTCTTTCGCCTATCTACTCTAGGAAGATGTAACATTCTGAAAGGTTCTTATTGCTCAAATAACTTTAGCATGAAATTCACTAACTTGCAAAAGGGCTTCAGCGGAAGAAAATCTACTGGTACAAGCTATAATTCATCTCTACAGGAAATGACTTTCCTCTTACTTTAATTATAGTGAAATCCTTACATATGCATTTGGGTGTAAGTCCCATTAGCTGGATTCACACATTGTGGTAAATTATCTCTTTTTTAAAAAATCCTGATTTAATGAAATACACCATTGGCTACGTTCACACGTTTGGTACAACTGATAGTTTACAAATCACAAGGACTGAATTCATACATCTTGCAAAGAATAGGCAAACAAATCAAATTATAACTTACCCACAAACCAAATTCAAGGTACTTGCTTTTAGAAACACATTGAACTCAGAAGACAACAAGTGAAGCTATTTCAACATGATGGTAATGAAAGAGACAGGAACAGCTAGCCCTTGCACTGATGATGTTACCTAGTTTGCTAATAAAACGTCTACAAGGAAACAACCGAGCTCAGAGAGCACCAAGGACCCCACATTTCAACCCTGAGCTACAAATATTCTCTTCTACATCTACCCACCTGTGCAGCTATATTTTGGGTCAATTGCAAATTCTGACAATGTACTGCTATAGTCTGATCTTAAAGTTATCAAAGGAAACTCTTATTCCTTTTTTCCCCAGGTACGATCTGCTTGCTTTTTCAGACAAAGCTAATAGAGACAAAGTGCAATAGAAACTAGAAGGGACATTTAAAAATCTTTCTCATCCCTATGCTGTGGCAAGCAAAAAGCTAGATGCAGAAGGCCTTGAGGAATTGATGAGGAGGCCATTTTTTAATCTCTGGGGGAATGTGTGCAGTGTTTATCCTATTAAGCAACTTGAAACTTACACTAAACATATACAGGTTCAGGTAGAAGCTGCGTTCAATTTTATTGTTGCAAGACCCCTGGATAATTTAGGTGGTGGAACAGAGTCTCTAGATATGTGATATTTCTGATGCTGCACAAATGGCACTCTGCAACAACAAATACAGTCTGAACACCATGCAGAACAAGTGGCATGGCAAGCAAGGCATCCCTTTACATCCTGTTTCAGAGTGATATCCATCTTAGTGTTTTTTGCAGCAAGAAATTTTTCTGGCACTTAAAAGACAAAGTCACTTTTTATACAGAATGTATTAATCTGTCTATTTGGGAATGAAGGTATTTTTCTTTTATTTTCCTAAGTTAAAAGCCTAACACTTCATCTAAATTTACCTGCAGTTTTTGGCTTGTGTTACTGCATCCTATGGCAAGAAAATGACCAAGCAGCCATGTGGTGCATTGTATAGAAATAAAAGCCGTTCTTTCACTCAATACCTGTAAATTGTTTTTTTTTTTAAAAAAGTATTTTATATGGGAATGTTAAACAGTTGTTTGTTAAATCCTTTCTTGAAGTCTCTCGTGCTCAGAACCTTTTTCTGTGATATGAGTTCTTATCTCTCTCTTCTGACAAGAAAAAAACAACAAGATAAAGTTGGCATTTACAGGAGCAACCATGGTGATTGTTGTCAGAAAAAGAAAAATTGTCCTTTGAATAAACATTCTTTCCAGGGGTTGTTTTATGTTAACCTTGATCATCACACTCTGATTGTATGTACTGTGTTTCTAACACATGCAATATATGAAATTGTATCTACTGCCATTTTTATTATTTTTAATAGAGAGAGTTTTGGTATGCAACCTTTTTAAACATACTCATTTTTACATAACCCCCAAACTGTGTCACAAATATTTTGCGATGGTTCTTTATAATTATATGAATGACATGCCCATTTATACTGAATCTGTTCTGTCATATCACAGATATTAATTATTCAACCTACCTACTTACAGAGGTACAAAAGAATTCATTGTTTTCTAGACATGCTATGTACTTCATGCTAATTCACTTTAATTTGATATTGTATTAACAATCTGGTTACCAAAATAATTTCACCCATGTGAATTTTTGCCCATGTGGGTTAAAATTAACTTATGCCTTCTTGTGCTTGCTTCAGCAAAAAAGTGCAGACTGAATCTGCTATAAAACTGTACAATAATCCAGCTACTAAAATTTGTTATACAGAACTAATACCTCTGTAATTAGAAAAAGAAAAAAAAAACAGAAAACTGACTTTTCTCCATACAGATAGTTATTGATTAGTAGCCACAACTGGGGTCAGCAACTCGATTGATTAGTGCTGCAGCCACTGAGAAGAAAATCATTTGAATGCAATGGATTTATGATATCATTTCCCATTTAGTTGTTAAGGGAAGCATCACAAGATAGCAACTTACAATTTTACCTCCAGTTCTCCATTAACTCTACTTCTCACAAGCTGGTTGAAAAGCACACAAATGGTGATTATCTGACTGTGGGAGGGTGCAATGGTTGTAAATGCAAGGATTGATCATCAAGGTGGGGTTGTTTTTTTACAGTTGCAAAACAAGGCAGTCAGTAAGTGAGGATTATCTTATTTGCTGAAAAGAGGATCTATTTTATTTATGAATTATATTTTTATCTTGGGTTTATTATTTTTATAAACAACTTAAAGCAGTGAACATGCATAATAGTCTTTCCTCCTCCTATGTTACCCACAACAACAACCTTGTGAGGTGGGTTGGGCTGAGACAGAGGGACTGGCCCAAGGCCACCCACCCAGCTTTCATGCCTAAAGCAGGACTAGAACTCACAGTCTCTTGGTTTCTACTCCAACACC